GGAAGTCTGCTTTAAATGCAAAGTTTCATCAACTAGTTCTAAATGATATTTGGGATCGATGCAAGGTATTTTCTCAACAGCAATATTTTTGTGCTTAAAAGAACATTTAATTTCAATTAGTTTTGGTTCATGGCATGAACAATTAACAGTGCCATCAGGTGATGCTCCCATAAATGGTTTATTTTTCATTACTATTAGTCCACACTCATTAACTTCAAATTTTTTGTGTTTCTTAACCTCACTAATTGAGTATAATTGCCTTGCAACCGGCTCATTTTCTTTACCAAAAGTTACAGCACTGTTTTCAATAGGTTTTGCAGTTCCCAAAATCTTACTGACTAATGTTTCACACTTGTGAACATCTCTCACTGATCTCACCAAGTCAGCAATGCTTGCTGTTATACGTCCCTTTCTGGCTTCATACCATGCAGGATCACATTGAAGAAGGTTTTTTAGAATTTCTACATGCTGCTCTGTTGTATTTTGGGTTAAGTAATCGAAAAACATCATGTTACTTCCTGAAGATCTGTAAGTTGTATAAATCTCTTGCATCGTCGGCACATTAGTCACAGGCAATAGTTGTGGATCTTTCACTAACTTCAGAAATAATGCACCGGGATGAGATTCTTCACATACCTGGAAAAAATATTTGAGTGAATAAGGGGGAGGGGACTTGTTTTCTTTTCCCTTTTGTTTTATTGCCTAAAATAAAGTGGTGGGTAAAGAGTTGTCTAAAAATATGACAGAAAAGGAAATTGTACTTATCTATATACAAACAAAGTTTCTTATGTTATGATGGGGCACTGGTAAATATATATTTTTGGCAATCTGTTTTCAGAGTATACAGCAGAGCTATATCAGCCGACAGGCTGTTAGTTTATGAAATATGTTGCCACCATGTTGGGAAGAAAGTAAAATTTACAATATGTACATCCAATTTCCTCAAGTGCCCCTCCCCATTTTTAAAATGGTTACCCCTTAAGAAAATCAGCACCTCACCCTTTTTAAATGCTCTTGAATCCTGAGAATGTCTGTATTGTTCACTGTTCTCAGTGGTCTGTAGTTCTTAGGTTGGGGACCAGGTTTCCTTGGTGTTGTTTTATCTCTGCGATAATCTAGGTCTTCCACCTTTACTGGTATGGATGTTTTGCGGGGCTTAGTCCACACACAAGTCTCATCGGTACTTACTGCAGTTCCCCTGTCAGTCTGCCTGTCTACGTATTCAGCTACTGCAAATAGTAGAGCAGCTGTGTGCTTGCAAGAACCATCATCACTAATAGAAAAATAAATATAAAGTATTTTAATGGAGGAAACCAATAAACAAATATTTCACCATATAACCATAATTTATTTTAGTTTGTATAGTTAAAAACTGGGGACTAGAGAAAATGGATGGCATGCACTATACTTGTTCTAAGATGTGGGAAGGAGTGATTAAAACTTTAAAGCATTCTTTAATACTAAAATATACTGTTATTTACAACTTTATATTTACATGCTAATTTTTGTAAACAATGTAGATCTTTTCAAATTAATTATGTTTGCCTCAGTACATTAATATTAACAAAACACTACATGTAGCTTCTTAAAGATATGAATGTTTGAACTACATAGTACATGTAAGATAATTATAACAATTACTGGTTTGGTAACACTTACGCTGCAACACAGCCACAACCGGCGGACATAACTTCAGCATCTGATGAAAGAAGTAGCCATGTTGCGTACCGCTGAGCAGTTTGGCGTTGTTCCGGTTTCACCTAAGCTTTGACATAGACGTGATCTATGTGCCCAGACACCTTTCCTAAAAGAACGTCCTCTACATGGTTATCCTTAAACATAAGATACCCATCGTCGTGTTTATATTTTGTCAGTCGTTCCGGTGTCCACTCGCAGTTTCTTATTAAATACGCAAACACGTCACCAAGCGCAACTTTCGGGAGACAATGAAGTGTTCGTGTCCACACCACTTGTTTACCTTTCAGGTCAACAGCAACAGTCCCGTCAGCATTTAACACCCGCCGGCGTTTCCTCTCTGATTCATCATGATCACAGTCTTCAATAACATCGTATATACCGCTTGCTTTTTGTGCCAATTCAACCAACTCATTTTTCTTCTTCCCAGCACATGGTATACGACGATCAGTTAAATATTTTTTTAAATCGGGGACTCGCAGACGACTAAAGTCACAGAAGACCGCCATGCAAATAAGCCTCTCAACGTTCAACGTTCTCCGCTGGTGGCGCCATTATTGCGATGTCGACACCGGAAGTGAGAAATGCGTCTTTCCAGGTTATCCGCCGAGGGCGCACTTTATTGTGAAACGCGAGAATTTTACGGTATTTTATGGGTTATTTTCATCCTACCATATTAGGAAATAATTACGCACATAAAACAGACATGGCTGCCACCAGGGTTTGACCGGACTCCATACAAAGACGTTTGCTGATTCTGTTCTAAACTTTTTAGATTTCGGCATTCCCATGATGTATCCTGGGTAGGAAAAGATGTATAATAATAAGGTTATTACGAAGATACCTCAAAGTATGTACTCAGACAGTACGCTGTCGCATCGACCTCTGCTGCGCGTCGGTCGATACTGCCGCTGTACTGTCTTTGTGCATACTTTGAGGTATCTTCATAATAACCTCATATTATACTGTTTTGACCTTACATCTCCATACTAGTACCTATACCACTAGTTTTGTTGTGTTCAATATAGGGTTGTTTGTCACATCTCGTTTAGTCAGTTGTTTTATCACACTGGCACATCTTCAGTGTTGTATGTGACATATACAGCAACTACTAGTATAAATCCTACCCCTAAGTATATCCTAATACTCGATAAAACATCAGTGCATATAAACTCCCGCCCCCCCCCACTC